TCCTCTCTCGTCCTGTCTTGTCTGATTGTCCGTCTCTTGTTTGTTTTATTAAAACGCTTCGGGGATGTGATCCCGCCCCCTTTTTTGCAAGAGTGAAACTGATTATTTCTCCAGCTCGGCAAGAGAGAGTCATTCGTTTGGGATTGTGGGAGGGAAGGAGGGAGGGAGAGGAGAAGGAGAAAGAAAAGAAGAGGAGGAGGGGAGGACAAGAAGGAAGAGGGGAAGCTTCGCCTGGCGTGTAGTTTTGAATCCTCCTTTCCCTGCCTCTCTCTCTCTCTCTCTCTCTCTCTCCCACACACCCGCTTCCTCCGATCCGCGATGTTACAAAGCCAGTGAGCTGTTCTTTTCCCATTCGCCTCCTGTCACTTCCTTCCTGGACGCCCTCAGGACGAGTCCGCTTACTTTTAATCCGGCCAGCAGCACGGGCACTTTCGCCTCCTGCACGCTTAGATCTCACCCACCACCACCACCACCACCACCAGCAGACAGCCAGCCAGCCAGCCTCTGGCTGCTCATTGGATTGATTTTCAAGGTTGTGTGTGTGTGTGCGCGCGCGCGAGCGAGAACGCGCGTGGTGTGGCTGTGTGTGCGGTTAAAGGAGGCTGCCTGGGGAACCAGGTGGTGAACATCTTACAAGGCTGGAAGAACTAAAGGCGTGTTTTTTTTTTCTCCTTCTCCTCGTCCTTCCTCCTCTTCCTCTCACTTCTCTTCAGAGTCTCTTTCCCTCTTGTTCGCCAGAAGAGCAGGGGGTGGGGAACCTCAAGGACTAGCTTGATCATCCAGAGGTTTGCAATGTAAGTACACGTGCAGTTTGAAATCTGTTAAGTCGAAGAGACTTGGCTTTCTCAGCCCTGGGATGCCTAAGGAAGTCCATCGAAGCACTGCAGTAGAGGTTTGGGTTGTGTGGCTAGATATCTATATATTTATTTATTTTTAAAAGGTGGGCTGGAAATATGTGTGTGGCATAAGCAACTCATGTCAAAACAGTGGCTTTAAACTAAGTTAACTTTGCACTCAAGCCCAAAACAGTTAAAGTGCTGGAGGTTTGTTTTTCCCCTCCCTTGCACTCCCATCAGCTGCATGAGTGTTTAAAGTTTCATGAAGTTCGTTCACGTCACTGGTGTCTTTTGATATTGTGAAGTGTGCTCAGGTTTTGTTTGTCTTTTAACGTTTCGCCCAATGCTTATGACCTTGGAGCACTTGCCCCTGTGAGTTATCAAACAGTGCAGTGAAGAAATTAGCTGGCATGAGAGCCTATGCCCTTTTAAACTCCGGTGTGTGCAGCACGTCACTGTTGTTCTAATTCTTCGGTTCTAGACGCAGCATCTCTCTTTCTTTTTCTCATGCTCGCTCGCTCGCTCTCCGCACATCTTTTTTATTTGCATGCTCCATTTTTGAGATGGAGGAATGAGGAATGTAGGAGTAGAAAGGAGTCATATTCTTCTTTTTCCGGTCTTCCAAACTTTTGCTCTTAAGTTGAGGGAAGCTGGATCATGTCTTCGGCAAGCATTCTAATTTTACTGTTTTATTAACATTTCACCAGCATTAAGTAAGGTATGAAAGAGAAAAGGGGGATGTGTAGGGGATATTGTTTTGTTACCTAAGTAGAATATGCTTAACATTTCTGCATAGGACCTCCTGACAGACATGGGATATCATGTGAAATAATGCCACATTTAAAATACTGTTTGTCCAAAGAGATGTGCAAACAATAGACCTTTGTGGCTCAGTTTTTGAGTCAAATCTTGTACAGTTTCATCTTTAAGTGGCCCATATACCTCCTTTATAATAAAATATGTAAGGCACATACATCATACCTGCTACTGTTTAAGATAATTAAGCAGCAGAAAGGCAGTCTGCCAGTATTTCAGTGGTGGTCTACAGATTTCTGGCTTACAGCGAAATACCTTTCAGTAGCATATATAAAATGAAACATAAAAGCCATTGTCTTAAAACTATATCATTTCCTTACATTTCTTTTAATAGAGGATATAAAAATGTCCAGCTGGCCAATTACATTAGACAAATCTGTGAAGCCTATTTTTCTTCAGTAGCACTTAGCAGGGGCACTATGGTAGCAGAGCATAGATCTTTGTACATAGTATAATAACGCTAAACCCCAAGGTTTAGTAGAAGCAAGGTACAGGAATATAATTACTAGTGAACCAATACCTCTGTTTTACAGAGTAATTTCAGGTTCACCTAAGCTATTGAGGAGCTCTATTCAGTTCTAAATTAAGGTTGTGAGGTACTTTTATCATAATACCAAAGTTAACATGTTTTTTCATATTGTAGGAAGTTACAGCTAATAGAATGCACATATATTCTAAGAAAATATAAACAAGTACCTATTTTTGGGTGGCCGCTGCATCCTTTCTTACTGTTGTGTGACATTATGCATTGCCACTTATATGTCAGTACAACTATTTCATTGTCCAAAGCCTTCAGGATTTTAAAAGTTCTGACTTTCAGAATAGGAGTGTTTTATTTCAGTTTTCATGTGGAATAACTTATTGTCTGTTTATGCTACTAGTTTCTCACTTATGTGGTTTGATGTTGCAAACCTTTATATGAGTTAGATCTAGCTGATTTGCTTGGGTGACTGTGGAGAATTCATGTGAATGAATGAGTGAAGATAGGTGAAAACAAGCTCCTAAATACCAGAAGCAAATACTGTACTTTATTGGCTCTTTCCAAATATAAAAATAAATATATTATAAATTGCAAACCATTGTAATATATGCCCTCAGCTTTTCTCAGAGGTATGTTAAATTGCAAAAGTTGCACACAAGTAACAGGTGACATTTCAGAAATAGGTACCTGACTTGCTTTAGAAATATAATATGAAAATGCATCATTTAAGTTACATGTCTAAGGGTTGTGCACTCTGTACTTATATTTCATATAAGTAAAAATGAAACTGTAAGAATTTGACCTTGAAGATGTTACTTGCTTTTGGTTATAAATAAAAATCGCATTTCCTTGCTGATACATATTTTTTTAATATGTGGTAGACAGTTGATATGACATAATGCAACCATATACACAAATATCTGCTGTTGTATATGTGAAACATACAAAAGGTTTAAGTAGAAAATGATGGCCTCTGGTTTAATAGTATAATTTAACAGTTGAGGTGGGAGCAAAAATACTTTTTCATCCCATTGCAGCAGCTGAACTTCAAATGTCTGTGTTGCAAATAAGCCTAGTGTCTTCATGTTCCTTTTATCACAAAGAGTAAAAGAAGTAACATCATAATCCAAAACATGATCTTGGTAATCAGTTCCATTAGAAGCAATGGGACTTGAAACCAGGTGATTACATTTGCCAGTGCACTATCAGACTTTAAATAATTTGTTCAAAGTTTTGACGCCTTTAAAATGACACAGTTCTAGTAAGTTCCCTTTTACGTGTTTGACAAACTAGTCTATATACTTTGCTATCCACCTATCCTCTTCAAAGTATCCTTTTAAAAAACTCTTTTAGAATTTTTAGCAAGTCATGATCTTATATTAGGTGCCAGAAAGAATGGTCACTTTCATAACTGACAGAGTTTAACCTGTTGGACATGCACCAACTCTTAGCTATGTAGTTTAACCAAAATTAGAATAACATAGATTTGAGTGGTTTTAAACTCTCTGGTTATTACTATATGAAAATCACAGAGATGTTTTATTCCTAGAAACAAAAATGGATTATTCAGCATTTGTGGACATCATGGTCCATTTGTATGTTCAGATTTCCTTTCACCCACCTAGATCCCAGAGTTCAATATAAATCAGTATTTTAGTGCAGCTGGCAATTCAGATGGATAACAGTGAATGGTGTATATCCCTGTAAAATACCCGCAGAAAAAATTGTTAACTCTGAACTGTGCAGGTTCTGGCTTCAGATGGCTTTTAAATCTATTTGCATTGTGTAAGGTTGCAGTATTTATACAGTATTTGTAAAGTACAGCCTGCATCGTTTAGTCCTAGTTGACGTGTCACACATTGCAGAAGGTGTTAAGAGAAATCCCTAGATATTCTAGCACTTTTTGTTGTTGTTTTTTTTGAATATAGTAATTTGTTAGTAGCTCTGAACAGATTTAAGTTAATCTTCTGAGAGCTGGCGGTCAATATGTTACATGTGGACAGGTGATTAAATCCTAGTGTCTTCAGTCTTGTACCTTAATCTCGACTGTCGCACTGACTGCAGTGCAGTAGAGCTTGGCTGTTCGCTGGGATCTGTCATCTTTAGGAAATCAGAGCAGCTTATAGAGACAATTCACAAAACCAACAGTGACAACAAAGTCTTACATGCCTTACAAAAGGAGGATTAGGCAGTTCAGATGTCAACTTGATTGGACAGAGATAAAAGCTGATTGCTGCAACATGGCCAGGCACACTTCATTTTCAATTGGTTATTTATTACATAAGGGCTACTATTGCTTGATTGCTTAGTCATTGTAAGAGTAGGGGTAACTCAGATTTTTAAAATTAAGCTTTTGTGTGTGTGTGTGTGTGTGTGTGTGTGTGAAAACACTGAAAAATTACATCTTAATGTGACAATGCTTTAAGAACTGAGTGGCTGTACAATTATCTATCAAACCTTGAAGCTGTATGTATATGAAGCTGTCACTTGATGTTTTCTGCACGTACTATTAGATGGTTTGGAAGTTCTCAGAACCAGCAATGGTTTCTTTCTGAATATACAACAAATCGCATCATAAAGGGCAAAGCAAGTCCTCAAACCGCTTTACTTCAGAGATTTTTCAGTTGAAATTCTTGGTATTGTGATTAAGTAAATTATTCCTGATTTGAAGCAGTTCACCTCACTTTTTAATTTATCAAAATGTGTGATGCCCTTAACCTGTCTTATTAACAAGAATCCTCAACACTCTTCAGTTATGGTTAATATTGGAATTCAGTTATGGTTAATATTTAAATTCAACAGAAAGTATGCTGGCATTTTTGTACTGAAATTTGGAAGCATAGAGCTCTCTTACTAATTGGTTATGTAATATTCTCTTGCCTTTCTGTTAGAACAAAAAAAATTAAAGCCCAAATGAACTGATGCCTCTTGGTTTTCTTGCATTGCACGGCACTAATGAGTCAGCCATAAATGTAAACATTGCATTACATTATCTCTGGTAGAGATTATCTCTAAAATTAATATTGACATAATCAATTTCCTTTATTGTATTGTATATATTTTTAAAGATCAGGCAGAATACTATTCAAAATGTGTAAAAGTCATTGGGCTCATGGGAAATTTTGTTTCCTACAGATTTTTATCTCTTCCTCCCTCACCTTCGTTCATTCTCCATGACCTTATTTGCAAGATTCACAGCTTGGTTAAGGTGCAGAAGTTGTTTATAAGCTGATTGGAGCTTATAGATTGTGATCCTAAGCCCATTTACTTGGAAGTAAGTTCCACTGAAACCATTGGGGCTTAAAATAAATGCTTATAAAGTTGAGATGCTAGTCACTCTGTAGAGAAGGGGCTCAATGAAGCC